TCTCTTATTACATTACAAGGGAAAAGAAAACACACGACATATACAAAAGTACCTATTCTTTATTTCAGCAGCCATTGCCATGAAAGCTTGCTCAACATTAGTAGCATTTTTTGCACTAGTCTCCATGAAAGGGATCCCAATCTCATCCGCAAACGCCTTTTAACAAACCAATGACGATAGGGAAGAGTCATTATCTAAATATTGAATACTTCAATAGACAAAAAAATATGGTAGCAGGAACTAAGGGAAGGTTCTTTTCACCTTAGCTGTTTCATAAGACACAACTTTGTTAGCAGTGAGGTCAGCCTTGTTACCAACAAGAAGCTTGTTTACATTCTCACTAGCATAACGATCAATTTCATTAAACCACTGCTTAACATTGTTGAAGCTCTCTTGGTCTGTCACATCATAAACTATCTGCCACATGCACCAACATTAATAAATAGAATCCACATTACAAGACTTCAAGGAAAAACTATGACCACAATAATGAAACAAAAAGGAAAAACTTACTATAATTCCATGTGCCCCACGGTAGTAGCTACTAGTAATTGTCCTAAAACGTTCTTGTCCAGCAGTGTCCCACTACATTTCCCGGAGGAAAAAGGAAAAAGGAAAATATGACAGATAAGTCTTATAGCTCATTGACTAAATAACAATTCATATGTGCTACAAGAATATTGCAAACATGCACTAGAACTAAATTTAAGCCTAATGATAAGACCCTACGTGTTCCATTGACACAGTACAGCTTTCTTCATAAGCAAGGTCAATCAACTAAATGCAAACACGCCGCAAAAAAACCTCACGAAATAAGAAATTCTACTAAAGTAGTTGAATGTGTTACATCAGACAGTTGCGAATAAGCACATGAAGAAGAAGAAAAAAGGGAAAGGAAAAAATGAACCAACAACACTTTGGCATCAACAGTTCAGGTACGTAAGCAATAGGTATTCCTCAACTATTGAATGGCTTTAATGCCCACGCACTACCATGTGAGAGAGAGAGAGAGAGAGAGAGAGAGAGACTCACAATTTGAAGTTGAATGGTCTTCCCATCCTGCTCGACTGTGCGAATTTTCTACAGATAAAGAACAAGAAAAGTAATTAGGAGTCGTATTTTCTATAACACCACTTTGACCCAGAAAATAGAGCTTACAAAATCAACTCCGATTGTGCTAATATAGCTGTCCAGATATGAATCATCCTGTATCATACAGAGATAAAATAGTCAGCCCTGAGGAATTGTACGAGTAATCAATATAAATAATATTTCCATGGGAGACAACATGAACACCTGCCTAGGATGACACATCAGATAATAGGTATTACACGACAAAAACGAATCATGCATATGTTATTTAATTGCATTCGTCGATTTGAAGTAAATCAATACTCAATTTTTTTAATTGTTTAGATAAGGAATCAGCATTTTTGACAATAAAGGATAGAAATTACAAGTTTCTCTTCTAAAAACTTCTATTTATTTTCACTTGGTTCCTTGAAGCCTTCCTTTCTTATCATTTACATCAATGAATTTCCCATTTTTGAATTACCCATAAACATCGAAGAGCAAAATAACTTCTAGATTCCCCAAATATCTAACTTTAGTATAAAGCAAAACATTGTATTTCCTTTTCGGCAAGAAACAAACGCATGAGCACAGTAAGGAATTATCAGAACAGTAAAGACTAATCAGTTAACTATAACGGGAGAGGCAAGTAATGGACACAACGAATCGGACAAAAAAATCCAATACAAACTTTAACACGCACTACAATTTCCATATACGAATAAAGGAGAATAAAGGACTAAGGGGTCAAAGTATCAACAACTTACAGCAAACCTCAGAAGAAGACATGATTTGCCAACCCCAGAGTCTCCAATCAGTAAAAGTTTAAACAAGTAATCACTGCAGAAGAGAACATTTGAACATAATCATTCATTTGCAATACTTTAAATCTGAATTCAACAGGTTTAGTAGCAAACTAAAACTTAAGTTATTTGGTTGAGCCAAAAATTAAATTACATTTAACAAATTGCATTGACTAAGCCCAAGAACTAACTGAACATCAAGATCTCAAACCAAAGTTTAGTTGACCCATTAACCTCAAGAACACGATCCAAGCTAAAATTTATGATATCAAAATAAATCAATTACGCTGCTTTCGGTTTCAGTTATCACAATTAAAGTATAAGGCACAAGGAAATGAAAGTAACTGGAAATCTATCCTATTGGGTTTCAATTTCTTCAGTTTCTTATGTCAACAAACAGAATTTCAACAAAATTGATAATTTTTTTTTAGAAGGAAACACAAATTGACCACACACCCATTACAATTTAGCCCTAAATCATCACGGATCTAAAGAATAATTGTTGTAAGGACAAAAAAGAACTGCTTTAGGTGAATCCAAAGGAAAACAGCAGGAAAAATACCCACTTTTATTTTTGATTTTTTTCATGGCATAAATATATTCAGATGCAAAGAGGGGCAAAAGTTAATGGAAACAAGGGAAAAGGGAAAAGAGATCGGAGGCTTACTATTCAGGATTCATGACTGTGACTGCAAGTGGTTGATCTACGAAGAACTCGACCGGGATTGGACCGGTCCAGCCAGAACACAATCTAGACCAGCTTAGATTCTCTGGAGGGAAAGCTTTAGAGAAGGCAAATGGAAGAGAAGAGGAGAGAGATAGAGAGAGAACAAAAAGGAGAACTGGAAAAAACAACTGGTATGACGAAGCGATGATGAAACCGAAAAGTTCGGATTATATAAAGGTGAAACGTTTCTAATGAAAAACACGAAAAAATTTGGAGCCAAATAACGCTTTTACCGTTTTACATTTGGGCCTGCAGCTGGGCATGGGCCATGGTCCTCTATTCGGCCCGTTAAGTGTAATATTGTCAATCAGCATGAAGCCCAAATGTATTCGCGATATGACCAAAAACACTTTGGATGTAATCGGGTGTATTTGAATATGAACCCTATTGAGTTTATGATGCTAATGTTTTTTTTTTTTTTTTTTTTGGAGCAGATGCTTCTATATCACGCGATTATTTACAATCAGTGATTAGGCATATTATTTTGTGTGATGAAAATAAAAAACTAAGAGCTAAGTCTTAAATCTTAAGTTTTGAAATAGCGACCATACCCTTAAAAGTAATTAATGGTGTTGGGATTAAAAATTTTTATAGAAAAAAAAACTGCAAGAAGAACATAAGAAATGACTGCCGAAGTTTAAGTTATAAAGTTTTGCTGAACCGAACAATTGGTGATTGTTTGTTTGAAACTTAAGAAAATGGGAACAATTTTACTATCTAAATTAATGTGTTATGTTGTTGGTGAATAAAATGAGTGGAGTACTTTCCCGCTTGCCATACTTCTCTGAATTTTTACTCTTCTTATTTGTAAAGATGTTTAGATATTATTACTATATTATGTAGCATGCGGGATATGATTAATTATTTTTCATTGCATAAACCTATTGCTCGGTCTATTGGGGGTGTTAGTTGGATTGGCTCAGGCATTTAGTGTGCTTCCAAGCGTGTGTGTGTGTGTGAGTTTCCTCCCTCTCCCTTATCCCTTCCTAACTTTGACCAAAAAAATAAAAAGGGGAAAAGACTTGTTATAATCCAATGCAAAATTATACAAACAATATTCTTCAAGACCAGGAGGTGTTGGTTTAAGGAATTGCTAACACGGCGAGGATCACCTTTTATACACAATGGTTAAGGCAGTGAGCCCATCCCCTTGCAAATAATTTCGAATCCCCCTTTCTTCGTAGATTAGATCAATTTAGACTATCACTTGTATTTAAAAAAATAGCACATGGCAGGTTAATTTAAGAGTGAACCAAAAAATGCTCCAAAATACATCCAAATAATGTACATTATACCAAAACACCAGTACAATGAGAGCAGTATTAGCACTTGAGGAGAACAATACATATAGGAGGAAAATATATAAACCACAAGGTTTTTTTTTTCTTTCCTAATTTATTAATTTGAATTCTCCCAACGTCCACAGAAATGTAAGCCACCACACATGCATCGATGATCATCTAAATCTAATTCACTTTAATTTATGTTTGATTTGCTTTGTTGTTGTTGATATTGTCGTTGTTGTTTGATCCAAGTCCAGTCCCGAGTCCAGAATGGGCAGACCGCCTGTTTGAGTCCCGTCACTATCACTCTCAATCTCCCCCTCTAACGTCAGTCCTTCAATTCTTGCTGCTATTGGATCCGTTTTAATCCGCACGTCTATCTCTGCGCATTACATATACACCAACAAAATATATATATAAGAAAAATAAAATATATTAATGCAAATTTATAAACAATCTGTATCATCTCATACTACATCGTGGTCTAAAATAGTACAAATGATTTTATTTTTTATGATTAATTACCTGGATTTGAGAAGAACCAAAGAACAAAGGCACATAGAAGAAGCACAATGGGGATGACATGCACGGCATTCTCAGCAAACTTAACACGAGACCTTTCCTTCTTGGCCAACTCCGCTATGGGATCGTACACCGGCAGCTGATCACCGCCTTGATCGAACGACACTGACACCCGTAGCCCCGACGGCCCCTTCCCAGCTGACGGGGAGGAGTTTGGGTGCATGAAGTACTCATCCGCCCGGCTCCAGCTTGCCGATCTATGCATCTCCTAATTTTCTTGGAATATTAGTGTGTATTAAATTAAATTATTTTATTATTTATAGCTAGTACGTGACAAATAAGACTTAAATTGATGTATATCGGTAATGAGAATGATGATCAGAAATGAGTGAAGGAAGCATACAATATTGAGCAAGGGGGTTTGAAAGGTTGTGTATGTGTGTTCGTTAGATGTTGATTGGAGTATAAAGTGTGAAGTGAGAGAGAGAGAGAGAGAGAGAGAGCAAAAGAAATACCGAGGTCAAGGAAAACGGCTAAGATTTTGGATCAGAACTAGTTTTTTGGATCATTATTTTGACTCTGCAATAAATATTCTCATGTCCTTTCTATTGCTCCAGGTAGACCATTCTTTAACAGTTCAAGATTATCATAAGCTGACCTGGGACATTAAAAAAAACGACGTCAAATAGCAAAAAGAAACAATTAATGTTGTCCCAGGTAGTCTTCTCAAAATTTAAAATAAACGCTTAAAAAACCAACATATTAGAAACCATAACTTAAATTTAGGGAAAGAAAACTAAATTAGCAATTTTCTTAAGTAAACTTTATCAACAAGGACAAAAGTGAAATGGAGGAGGCTTGTGGAAGAGGACAAGGGAAAAGGGGGGCATAACTGCTGAATTACTTGTCCTTGCACAAGAAAAGTTGGTTCAAAGTAAAGTAATCACATATAAAATGGCAAATAACATCATGCAGACGTCTGTTTCAAACAAATTAGCAGAGAGAAAAATCTCCTAAAGTATTTCAGATCATGAGTGTGCTCTATATTCAAAACTATATATATCTAAGGGTATAGATAAATAAGAAGATAACATAGTGAGGATACAAGATCATAGAAAAATAATAATTTATATTTACTTAGCATAATGAGGATACAAGAAAAGAAAATTGCATACAGTAAATTGGATTGCAATTCAGGAACATTTCGAAGAAGTAGAGTAAACAATGTGACCAATCCAAAAGCACCAGCTGCAAACCATTCTGGGACCGCTGCAAGATTGACACCAAATCCATCATCGTAACAAATTGTGAGCTTTAGAAAATGATTTCTGCCTACAATTTCAATGGAAATCCTGTAAAGCTAAATAATCACCAGTTGACTCTGGCTGTAATGTCCTTCGTGGAACTACAACTGCCACTGGTTGATCATCCTCAGGATTGACTAGAAGAAAAAGCTTATATTCATCCCCAAATTTGTCCTGCAAACAGATTGTGCAGATGTTAACAAGGAATCGATCATAAATTTGAACAGAAACTAAAGAAGATAGAAATATACCTGCATTCTCTTTGATATCTTTTCGTAACTTTTGGCAGCCACTCCTCGCAGGTTTCCTTTAAATAGTACTCCAGCCTGGCAGAAGTAACACAACAATCGGAGATGTACAACCACATGGGCTAGAAAGCATATCTTAAGATTTCAAACGCTTGCTATATGATCAGCATTTTTTCAATTCCTTTCTGTAGGATAGTTTAAGTCCACAGATAAGCATGTAAAAGTTCCTACCACCCATCCGTATTGTCATTACCCAAGTTTTCTTTTTCACTTCTTTCCAGTAGAGAAATGATATAGACATAAAAAGGTTAAATGAAATTTAACCAGTCAACTTACCTCATATGGATCCTGGGCTGTCACAAAAAAAGTATCAAAGCCAAAAACTTGGTTCTTAAGAATATCAAGTGTTTCCTTTGGAATCCGGATTGATTCACCCTGCTGTGGCTGTTTAGGAAATTATTAAGAAGAAGATGTTAAAAGAAGAGGTGACAGGAAGATGTATCTTCTCATATAGGAAAATTAAAGAACTTCATAATCACCTTCACACCTGGCAGAGGTGATCCACTAGAAACTTCTACATTATTATCAACATCCTGTTTCAAACACAACCTTAGCGCATTAAGTATCAACAGAGCTAATTTGAATACCCTGCTCATCAAAATAAGATATTTATCGTCGATGTCTGTAGTAGAGAAAGATTGAATAATTTATGAGAGAACAACTTTCAGGCAGGTGGCCTCTTCTGTTGGGAGACTGATATCTGAAGGACAATTTTATGACAGGATTTCATGCAGGACCACCAAAGGTCAATATTTTCATGTATAACCAGTGAATGGGAGTCAATAAGTAATTATGATTAAGAAGTGAATCTAGAAACTCCAGATGTAAAGGGAAGGTGAGTTTTTCAATGACAGACAGTACCTGCACACCAAATTCAGCCTTAGTTTCAGCATCATTGTTTATTTGGTCTACAACTATTGGCTGAGAATCAAGATGGGGTTCCTCAGAATCTCCACCTTCATTTTCATTTACTTCTTTTTCCTACAACATCAAGATGAATGAGAAACACACTAATGCTGAGAACTCAACAATAACAATAATAAAATTGAAATTGCACCTCATCATTATTGCTATCTGGTTCGGTCTGCGTCTCACTCAATCTACAAACAACCTCTCGCTTCCTCAAATTTCTAAATTTCGCACTATAATCAGATTCCAAATAAGAAGATAACAAAATAATTATTTGATGAGCTCATACAGAGAACCTTACCTCGAAACCTGGTAGAGCTTCAAACTGCTTCTACGACGGTGCCGTTTTCGCCAAGAACCCGTCGAAGCAGCCAAATAAGGCTGAATACGAAGATCGCAGCAAGAACTGCACTGTGATAAGGGGACGAAATTCCCGCGAAAAGTTGCCGATAAGTTCATTTCAATTGAAAGATAGTCAGAGAGAAGCTCTAATTCAGTTGAAATCCTAGCGCCATTCAAACTGAGATAAAAAAAGGTTTATAGTTTGAGAAGCTTTCGTTTGAAACTTTGAAGCTACGGAGTGTCGATGAGGCAAAGGAGTCTTATCCTCACAGAAGCATACAAACACAGAGGAAACATCTGTTTTCCGTTTCGTTGGCTTAAATACGCGCGGAATGATATCTTAAATAAAGTCCCTAAAAATGAAGTTTCAACCTGTGGTAACGAAAATGAAAATATTTCCCTCCTTATCAATTTTATCTTTATTATATAATTTTTTTTCATATTCGATATTGGGGGAGGAGGTTTGCTCACACACACTGTCAAACTTGAAGGAAACATAGCACAGAAGTGTTTCAACAGTTGTCTTCTTAAGCAGTGTAACAATTTTTCTCTTCTTTTCCTTGATCTTCTTGTAAATCAAAATGAAATGAAAGGCTGAATTTTAAGATGGAAAAATAAGTTCAACGACAATGTATAGAACATAAAAAGCACCAATCAGATCATTTACATAAGCACCAACAAACTGATTGACAAAAGCACCCACAATCTTTTGCTAGCTTCTTGTAAATGTAATTTGGGTTCCAATGGCTTTCCAAAATGTGCATTCTCTTCTCTAGAGTTGCACTGGTTGGCATCGAATATCGGCATGATACCTATAACTGCCACAACACCAGATTTGAATAATCTAGTATCGGTGTCACCAAAATATGTGATTTATACACAAAGACTCCTATTTATACATATTACAACTACGACATCAAAGTGGAAGAGCTTTGCATATCTTCAGGCCTCTTCAGGCCTCGCATCCCCCCCCTTGACATGCGCTTCCTCTTCTCAGCTGGCCTGATAAGTAATTTACCTGACTCTGGCAATGGACCCGATTTTAGTTCCACAGGACCTTCCCCATCATTGCTAAAAGCCCAGCCATAGCAAGGTTTACGCCTCCGCGGTGCAAGAGTATCTACTGGGAGACACTCCTTAGCACCTGCAAAACAAGTCAACATTCATAAAGGAGTGGAACTGAAATGATAAGAGCATGAATGAAAACTGCCAATGGCTGAAACCGTAACATCTACAAATATTTAGGAATAACTTCTCAGCTGGCCTGATAAGTAATTTACCTGACTCTGGCAATGGACCCGATTTTAGTTCCACAGGACCTTCCCCATCATTGCTAAAAGCCCAGCCATAGCAAGGTTTACGCCTCCGCAGTGCAAGAGTATCTACTGGGAGACACTCCTTAGCACCTGCAAAACAAGTGCACATTCATAAAGGAGTGGAACTGAAATGATAAGAGTATGAATGAAAACTGCCCATGGCTGAAACTGTAACATCTATAAATATTTAGGAATAATTAGAAAATCATTTACCTGTAGTTTTAATCAGTAATGCATGAATAAGTCCATCAGTCTGTGATGTAGAGTCACAAGCATCCTGAGTCTGCAATTTGCTGTCCACAGCCCCTGAGAAGGTCGGTAGAATAACAATGCTTGAGGGCCCTACTGCTGATGATGCATCATCAGCATCATCATACGGAGCAGCATCATCTGATGGAGCTGCATCACCTAGTGGAGCAGCGTCATCTGGTGGAACAGCATTGTCTGGTGGAGCTGCATCGCCTTCTGGAGCTGCATCGTCTGGTGGAGCTGCATCGCCTTCTGGAGCAGCATCCTTCAAAGAGTTCAAACCAGAATTATGACTAATTTTATACAATTAAGAGCAACACAAGTCAAGGTGAAAACCAAAATAACACTGGTGAATGCTGTTCGAAGGCATAAAACTAGTGCAATCTCACTGAAACATCAAGTAGAAACGAAGAGAGAAAACTAGGATAGAAAACTCAGAGCTTTTGATTTTTCTGTGAAATGAATCTTATAGTAGATTGAAAGGACTGAGTAGGAGATTGCCATGGTGATGCGGTAGGGCATATAGTAGATGAACCAAGAATTCCAGGGCCAGAATGTGGAGGGACATAATATTGACTATGAGGTGCACTATGATGGGCCAAAAAAGAACCAGGGTGTTGAAAACCAGAACCACCTGAATTACCATAATGACCACCAGGTAAACAGGTTGATAGAAAAATTGGCCTGAACCATAAGTGGAATTACCATTTGAACTGCTACCATGTCTACTCTTATTATATCTGTTTCTGAAGTTATTCCTGCCTCTGTAATACCTGTTTCCCTAAGAACCACCTCTGGAATTCCATTGTCAATGAGAAGACAGACCATTATAACCTGAGGTCCTATTAGAATAACCATGATCTGGAGTCGGATGCTGATAACTCTGATCCTGAGAATATGGAGAACCTTGGGTTTGATGAACAGGAGTTAACTTGGTCTTAGCCATCATAGCAGTAAGGAGTGGTGTGTTCATGATAGATGCAGCTCTATTCAGATCAATTTCTTCAGCAAGAAGTAAAGTACGAACCTCGGAAAAAGTAACAGGTACAGGTCTTGCTCGAATGTGAGATTTAAAATTGTTATAATCACCAGGCAACCAATTTAATGTGATTAAGATAATGTCTTTGTCTGAAGCCACAAACCCAATAAGAACACCAAATCGAAGAGCGTAGGAATAATAAATCTCAAAGCAGCAAGAAGCCCCAATTTTCCCCCAGCACATTGTACAAAAAACGAAGCAACAAACATATACTTGTATGATTACAGGTTCATCTGTGTTCAAGGACACCATAAATACATTGTGAATATTATAAACTGGCAACACTAATTATCTAATTAACCAAAAGTGAACTACGTTTCAAGAAAAGAAAAGAAAAGTTTTGATTTTGACACTATAAGGAAATGCTTTTAAAACTTGGTAGAGAGAGAGAGAGAGAGAGAGAGAGAGTTATATTTAGCTTTACAAAAAGATAAAATTGTGGCTACAAATTAACGTAACCATAAATAGCATGTGGCTTTCCTTCACACACTGCATAATTGTAATAGGGCGGCTCACAAAGTCACTGCCTATGCTTATCGTACTTGGGGCTGTTTTAATTTGGGCAAACTTGACCCGCAATGGCTCTTTAATTTCTTTGCAATGGATGCAAACATTTCCATCCTCTTTTAATAAAGGTTGATTCTGACTTTGAAAAAAAATAAATAAATAGAGCCTGCATGTTATGATGGAGGTGTGAAATGATTACACCATTTTAATCCCAAAATGAAACGCATCAAGCCCTTGTGATTCAAAAGACTAGTGGGTCAAGAAGATTCAATGGTGATGGTGCGAAAAGTGGGGGTGGTGGGCCTCCTTCCTTTCTTGTATTGTAATTTGTATGTATGCATTGCCGATCGATGTCACCTACAAACCCTCCTACTTCTCTCTCTCTCTCTCTGGAAAGCTAAAAATTGAACCCACTTTGCACTTTTACTTCTCAAAAAACAAATATTCTCCTCGTACCCCATTTCACTTCTCCCCACATCCCTACATTATATTAGTTCCATGCTGAAATAAATAATTTGTTTTCTTTTTTGGAAGTCTGGTTGGCTTCGTTGGGCCTGCCATACAAGCTCACCAACCCAACCGAGACCTTTTCGGGTTTCTTTCAAGACCTAAACGCCCAAAAATACAAAGTTTGGCTCGATCCATTTTATTTCCCTTTAATGCAAAAGACAATAAGGCGAGCCTTCTCATTATAAAAGCACCATTCATCTAGGATGTGGGCAGGATCCAAATTGAATCGGTTTCTCCTGAAAACCACAGTCAAATCAATTATAACATAATGATTTGATTTGGTTTTTATTTTGACAAAAATTGTGAAGGAAACCAAACCAATTCAAGATGATTTGGACCTAAGCCCAATTATCTTTCCTTTTGTATTTTTTCAACATTGTTAGCCCAATCACAACAAACAAATTAACAACTTACTCCACACTTGAATTATTTTCTATAGTACGAAATCATCATAAAGTTCAACATGCCATAAAACTTCAAATTTCAATAACTAATATAGCTCAATTTAAATATTCATATATAATTAATTATTACCTAATTAGAGCAGTTGAATCATATAAACATAGTGCCCCAAATTCCCTCATTAAAATTATATATCTATATATATAAAGCAAAAGGTAGAGAATGGTGAAATATTCAAAATACCAAAAAATGTCATTGGTTAATGCAAACATTAACAATTGAAATTATTAATTAAATGAGGATAATATGGTAAGTTCACACTTTTTCATTTTTAAAAGTAAAATTAAAAGAAAAATCAGATAATGGATCCTATTTTTATGGAATACAACTACCCATTATTTTTTTAAAAAATTCTAAAATAAATTTAAGATATCAATTTCTTATAATTTTCATTAATTAAAATATTAAAAAACTTAACCGACTTTTCAGTTTTCACATTATTTGTTGGCCTCCCCAAATTCCCTCGCTTCTCTCTCCCCAATTATATTGAATTATTTTTTAACAAAACAAAAGTATAGAAGAAAATGTAATAGCCTGAGAGGCACAAAATAGTAAAAATAATGTCTCCATCCAAAATATGACAGTAAAATAGTATATAAAATTAATGCACTTTGTAATGGATGGATGCCAAAGGAGGATGAATATGATTTATGGGGAAAGAAGATGGTGCAAGAAGAAACACATACGGGTGCGCTGATAGTATTGGAGGGTGGAAAAAGAGTTTAGTGGATTAGTGTTTGAATTAGTGAAATCTTTGGATATAACATACGGAGGGTAAGTGGGAAAATATTTTAGTATAAAAGCACTTTTATGTTGGTATTCATACAATAAAATGAAAAGCGCTCCTAGCATAAAGCGATTATGCTAAAATTACTTATGTATAAACACTTCCAAACTAGTTATAAATTACGGTAGTCTTTTATGTAATATCTTCATAGCGATAATTAGTGATTAATAAAAAATAATATTAATGAAAGGCTATAGGAAGAATTGCTCTTTCCTTGGATGAGGGATAAAGGTTAATTGAATATTGATAAATAAATAAAAAGTTATATTCTATGTAAAGTGTACTAAAGTTTTTATAATAATTTTGACACATTAGCAGAGCTGTCTTGTGCTTTACAAATCCACGTAGACAGAGTATAATAAATCCACCTGTATTTTGGGTGTAGTGCCCACCTCGCTTGACTTGTTCATTTTCCTTTTTGGCCTCAAATTGCACAGCTCTAACGTTACGTATTTCATGGACTCAAAATTTGACATAGGTTTCTATATGCATGATTTTGAAAAGAAAATTAAATAATTTCAATATGATATCTTGCCCAATGATGTATTAATACAAGTGGTCTCGTGTATTAATACTTGTGGTTATTGTGGGAAAGAAAATATTAATATATCCTATTATATACATGGTCTCTAATTTGGTGAATTTTGGTCTTGCATGTTGTTGGTGGTCCATATGGTAACATCCTTTTAAATTAATGACTGGTAGTGACCAAAAAGGCCCGGGTACCCCGCTCTCTCTCTGAAGTTCAGGAATTGAAAACTTGTTATTCTCTCTCTCTAAAAGTTTTGCTTTTTGGCAAGTTTGATTTAGGGTTGTGAGAGAGAGAAAAAAAAAAAGCAATGTAGTAGTAGTAGACTAGGAGAGGAGAGGGCAGAGCGCAGAGGGCAGATTGTCTTATTATTTTTATTGTTTCCGTACAAAAGCCTCAAGACTCACTAGTCCAAACCAACTCAGCAGCCTCTCTGGGGATGGAAGGGGACATTTGGTGGGTTCTCTCTCACTTCTCTCTCTGTCAAAAATTATCATAACACTGAAACTGTCCCTGTGCACATCATATCTCATAAGATATTTGGAGTGGTTGGTTGCTTTGATTTTGAATAGATGTTTGCTCTTAGTTCCTATTTTATTTTCACGTTTTTTTTTCTTTATAAAAAAAAATACTTTATGTTTTTCTATAAAATAAAATAAACTTCATTTTCCATATGCTTTTCAAATGATAGAAAAAATTGTGTATACAATGCATAAGGCTTCAAGTGAGACAGAGGATAGGATCAAACATAGTGCCCCAAATTCCCTCATTAAAAAATATATATATATATATTTTTATTATTATTTTTAAGATGTCAATTTCTTATAATTTTCATTAATTAAAATATTTAAAAACTTATTCCCTCTCAAACTCTCTCCCCTCTCCCCAAATGAAAATAAAGCACTAAAAAAATATATATTTATCTATATATATAGCAATTCTACAGTATTATGTCTTGTCAAATATTACTTTACATACATACAACGATATGAATTCATTTTTCAGGACTCTCTTCTCTAAGTTCTCTAAGCCACCACCACCCAGAACAACACTTCACGGCCTGAAAAATGCGTACGGTACTCTTGATGCGGTGGTCGGCACCACGAAGGCGGCGTATGTGGTGGGTAGACTCGGCCCAACTGCTGCGGCTACGGCTGCCTGGAAGTCCTTTACATACGACATGGATCTGTCTAGCCTCCAAGGAAGAGTGGATATGCTGGAGTCGTCTCTGAAGGACCATTCCATCAAACTTGAAGAGCTGACAAGTGAAAGAGCTCAAGATGCTCTGAAAGCGCAAGCGGTATGTTTTCTCTTGTTTTTTTCTTTTCATTTATTTTTTATTTTTTGTTCATAATTCATTTTTTTGTTGACAGGTGATGGAGGCAGTGGTTCGTAACTGTAAAGCGCTTGAGGAGGATCTACTGCAATGCAAGAAGCAGATGGCCGAGATGGAGAAGAAAACCACCAGAAATTGATTATTTAGGGTTTCTCTTTAGGGTTTATACTGACTGATGAGGAAGATACTTTTTGTGTTATGCTCTGGACTATCTTTTTTAATGAAGTAGCCACCTATATTTTGAACTATTCTGATGTTTGATTCATCAGTTTTATCAGTTTTATGGGTTTGAATCATCAGTATTATCAGTTTTATCAGTTTTATTCATCTGCAAATGTTAGATCACAACGTTCGGAGCAACGTTGTGCAATTTTGTGCATTTTTGTGCAGGAAATTGCAGATCGGAGTAACGTTCGGAGCTTCTGGTGACGTGGGGTAAGCGCAGGCAGGTTCGGTACCTGCGCAGGCACGAGCCTTCACCGAGCTATAGTACTGACGAAGAAGAAGAGAAGGGGAAGGAGCTAACAGAGCTAGAGGAAAATGGTGATGATTTCTATGTGGATGATGAGAAAGCAATAACTGTGATAGAGGAAGATGATGATATTGAAGAAGAAGAAGAAGATGTGAAAACAGAGGACGAGGCTCCTCCTGTTGTGCCCTGGAAGATGAACCTTAGGAGTAGGAAGAGGAAGCGCCAAGATCACCATAGAAAGCCCAAGAAAACCACAAAGAAATCAAAATCTATAACAAAACGTCAAAAGCAGAATCAAGTTGTAGCAGTTCCCGATCGGAGTAGCAAGAAATTGGTAAAACACAGAGTGGCAAGATGGTCTGCAGGGAGGTGAGGACTCTGTTCTTAATTAGTTATAACTATTAGTTATTTTGATCTGCGTTAAGAATAAGTAAGGTTCATGCTTTGATTTGGGTTTAAGGTACAAGGCTGCAGAGGAAAGCATGCAGAGGGTGATAAATTTGGGACCCCAATACTGAGGCAAGGAAGCTGATTGGGGATACGGGTTTGTTGGACCATTTGCTCAAACACATGGCGGGCAAGGTGGAGCCCAGAGGTTTAGGCGGCGGCACAATGCTGATGGAGCCATGGAGTATTGGCTGGAGAGTGCTGATCTAGATCTGGGTTGAAGACCCTTATTGGACCCCACCACCTGGGTGGGGAGTCTGGTGATAATCCCACCGGAGACCCCACTTGAGCTGAGGGAAGATAAAAAGGTGATGTTAATGTTATTCATCTTTGATGTCCTCTGTGTTTAATGCATAATGTGTATGCGAGTCCCTTAATCTAGCTCTCTGCTTTTCTTCTTTTTCTTTTAGCTCTTGCTGGATATACAGGGAGTGTCCAAGAATAAAGAGGATAATCTAGCTTTAGTGACCACGGTCAAATTCCTGTTTGACAAATCCACCAAAAGGTGAACCAACAAATTTGGACATTTCATTTTAATTTGTTTATATTGATTATGGCTGCTTTAATTAACTGCTACTAATTGTTCGATTCGATGGGGTTTTGCAGGAGTATGCAGTGCTGCTAACAATGGAGCAAAATAAGATTAGAGAAAAACTTAGGGAAATAATGGAGGTACACCAGATCATGATATTAATTAATTATCCCTTGTATCTTAATTGCACACTTAATCTAGCTTTGGCTGCTTTAAATATAATATTATGTTCAAAAAGTTTGGACCTTTTAATTTTTATTAATTTGTTTCATGGTTCAACTTGATTATGGCTGCTTTAAATATAATATTAAGTGCTACGTACAAATTTTTTAACATATGCCATTCTTAACACTGTCTGTAAATCATATTTGGGGATAATCAATATGGTGTTAATTAAATGGTGTGATGATATTAAGCTAGCATGGAACATGTTTGATGGATATTTAATGCAGGAACAAATTGGGATGCTGAAATCAAGCAGGGAAGAACCACTAAGTATCTCAGAAGCACCACCGCCATCAGACACTGATCAAAGAGCAGAGACAAAATCAAAGGGTGGGGAGCAGCAAGAAGAAGAAGATAAGCTTCAAGGAGGAGACAATAATGCAGCAGCCAGAGCAACTCATGAGGACAAGGCAGATGTGAGTACTAAGAGTCCTCTGTTTTTTTTTTTTTTCTTTCAATTTTTTATTTATATATAGTACTAATAATTAAGAAGAAAATTAATTACCCGCTTTTCATTTAATGCGCGTGCCTACAAACAGATGTTGAAGGCTAAGACAGAGGAAGGGGAAGATGGAAATACAAGCAAATGATGAGTCTTCAAAGCAGCAGCAGCATGACGAGCCGACAAGGTGGTGCTCTTCTTCATCTCCTTCCACTACTCCCACATGGATGGGACAGAAATGGTGGCTTGCCATGGCAACTCCTAGCCCTTCTGTGAATAATTACTCTCTCTCTCTCTCTCTCTCTCTCTCACGTGTACGGTTATTGTGGGAAAGAAAATATTAATATATCCTATTGTATATATGGTCTTTTAATTTGGTGAATTTTGGTCGGGCATGTTGTTAGTGGTCCATATGGTAATATCCTTATATATATGGTCTTTAATTTGGTGAATTTTGGTCGTGCATGTTGTTGGGGGTCCATATGGTAATATCGTTATTTAATTGATATCATGCAGACATAACATAAAGTATGAAGAAAAATAAATTGCGGCCATCCATATGGGAACATCCTTTTAAATTAATGACTGGTAGTGACCAAAAAGTCCCGGGGACCCCTCTCTCTAAAGTTTTGTCTTTTGGTCATATTCTCTCGGAAGTTTAGGAATTGAAAACTTGTTCTTCTCTCTCTAAAAGTTTTGCGTTTTGGCAAGTTTGATTTATAAAGGAAATAGGCTCGGGAAAGTAGACCTGACATTCTACGGGAAAGATTGAAAACTTTGTTCTTTTCTTTATGAAACAACAAAAGTGTAGGACTTCAACATAAAAGAAAAAGAAAGAAAAAAACCATCCCCTCGTGTTTTTCATCTAGGCCAACAACCAATGTCCCAAATCAGGAGAAGATACGTGGTAGTTTACACAGTGCCATAATTCCAACTTAGAAAACCCAAAAAAACAACAACAATAATAATATATAATCCAAGATTGCAACTTTGTTTCTTGCTGAGATGAATTAGAGTTCAAAAGAACTGTAAAAAAATAAAAATTACTTGTATATAAGTAGGTCCTCATTTAAATTAAAATTTGTAAATTAATGATACCACAAGAAAACTAAGACTGCCTGATGATGCAAGGAAGGGGTCGAATGATACTTTACACAAGTGCAATTTGGGGATTTTCAAGTGGGGAAGTAGGAAAAGTCATCTGAGTCAATCTGTTTGGTAAGGCTGAAGAAGTGGGTTCACTGCACGGGTTTTGAAGGTCCCACGTTTTGACATTTGTGTTTCATCGGGTCTCCTACTTGCAAATATAAAATCAAAGGAACCAAATATATTAATACTATCAAGTCGTGATTGAATGTGTTATCTTATGGATGTGACATAAATTTACAAAATTCAACTACATGGTCAGCCAAAAGAAGAAAGATAATATTACTGTTTGTCAACCATGTAATAGGCGCGAGGGACTTGATTAAGAGAATTCATTTCTTACATTTGAGGTTCTAAGGTTCGATTATTTTTTTTTACTTAATATCGCTTGTGTAAAAATAAAAAAAAACTATGTAATATTTAATTTGCTCAATGTTTTTGCACTGGTCGTATTTTACTGTTTATATTTTTTTTCTTTTTTGTTTGTAAAAACCCTCCTCTAGAGCAGTGTTCTTCATGTGTAATTTTGTAATTACCTTTCATATGAATGGATCTACTCTGTTCCATAATATATAAAAACTATGTAATACGTAAATTTTTTATTTATTTAATTGGAGACTAGGAATGTACTTCATTTACCTTGATGAATTATGATGAAAATGTTTTGATATTCTTTTAGTTTGAAAATGTGTCATGTCTCAAAAGGTATTGAAGGCTTGCGGCCATAAACTCTAGTGGGAAAATCTCACTTGGGATCAGCCACCCTAGTGGGCCCCATGAGCAAACCCAACTACATACACAGACACAAAGATGATCAGCAAATATGCATACCTTTTCCTTATTCCACCAATGTTACCTAGCTCAGCAGCCATTATGCTCCCTACTATAACTTGTGACACAAACATTTGAATGCCCCCAATTGCAAACAGAGTTCTTCTGCCTAGTTTGTCCACCATAAGCATTGATACAAATGTCGCGCAGGTGCCTACCATGCCGGCGCTCATCACAGCTGACAAGAGTGACATGCTTTCACTTAGACCAAGTGTTCTAAATAGTACTGGCGCATAAAATGAGATGACATTGATCCCAGTCACTTGTGTAAAGAATGGCATGGCAATTGCCATGACAAGTTGAGGCCTATACTTTCTCTCTAAGATTTTCTTGAAAGGGTATTTGATAGTTTTCGATACGTTGTTTGCTTTGATGAGATCATCAAGCTCTGCTTCTACATCATCGATGCCTCTGATGCGCTGCAACATTTGCTTGGCCCTTTGGTGGTTTTTGCTGCGCTGAATGAGACTGTTTGGTGTTTCAGGAAGGAAAAATGCACCAAGTGTTAGCATTGAGGCAGGGACTGCCGCCATGGCTAGGGAGATTCGCCAACCCCAACCGGCTTTGATCTTTTCAGTGCCGTAGTTGATGAGGTTAGCGGACAGAGCACCAATGCCAACACTAAATTGGAAGCCATTGTTAATTGCTCCTCTGTGTTTTGCTGGTGCCATTTCCGAAAGATACAAAGGAACAGCCTGCACAAAACAAATAGATTATGCAACAAAGTAACAAGAAAAAACCTGCATTTGGTTTAGGGGCAAAAAATACTACCTGATTAGCAAAACCAACACCAACACCAACACCAACACCAACACCAAGCAAGATGCGACCAAGGATTAGCATGTAGATGTTCAAAGCTGCACCGTTTAAAGCCGAACCGGCAAGAAATGCAGCACCCCCAGTAAGGATTGAAGGCTTGCGGCCATAAACTCTAGTGGGAAAATCTCACTTGGGATCAGCCACCCTAGTGGGCCCCATGACCGAGCAAACCCAGCTACATACACAGACACAAATTAAAGATGATCAGCAAATATGCATACCTTTTCCTTATTCCACCAATGTCACCTAGCTCAGCAGCCATTATGCTCCCTACTATAACTTGTGACACAAACATTTGAATGCCCCCAATTGCAAACAGAGTTCTTCTGCCTAGTTTGTCCACCATAAGCATTGATACAAACGTCGCGCCGGTGCCTACCATGCCGGTGCTCATCACAGCTGACAAGAGTGACATGCTTTCACTTAGACCAAGTGTTCTAAATAGTACTGGCGCATAAAATGAGATGACATTGATCCCAGTCACTTGTGTAAAGAATGGCATGGCAATTGCCATGACTTTGCATCAATTTCTTTAAAGGGTGTTTGATGGTTTTTGAATTTTCACTTGCTTTGATGAGATCATCCAGTTCTGCTTGGACATCTTCGCATCCTCGTGTTTGTTGTAGCATTGACTTGGCTTTTTGGTGGTCGTTGGAGCTTTGGATTAAGCTGTTGGGTGTTTCTGGCAGTAAAAGAGCACCTAGAGTTAGTATTGAGGCTGGGACTGCTGCCAAGGATAGGGAGATTCGCCACCCCCAGCCGCCTGTGATCTTTTCGGCACCAAAGTTGATAAGGTTAGCTGATAATACTCCAATGGCAACACATAATTGGAAGCCAATGTTGAAAGCTCCTCTGTGTCTAGGTAGTGCCATTTCTGAGAGATAAAGTGGGACTGACTGCAAGGATGTTTGATTGTGTGGAACCAAATGTTATCACACATAACATTATTAAAATGTATATCAGTGGAAAATTTTGTCTGCCACGGCATCCTATGTTGCAAGAATTTTGTTTAACAAAATAACAAGTCATATGTATGACAATAGAAGATTGCCCTATAGACTAATCTTAAGTTAAAAAAGGGGAAAAAAAAAAGTTCAAATATGGAGCATAATACCTGGTTTGCAAAGCCAACCCCAACACCAAGCAAGATACGACCAGATATTAGCATGAAGATTAGTAGCTGCACCGCCTAAGGCCGAACCAGCAAGGAATGAGGCACCAGCTACAAGGATTGAAGGCTTTCGGCCGAAGGTTCTGGTGACTGAAGAGGCCCGCTATATAGAGTGAGGATGAAAATGCTGTTAAAAGTTGGCTATCAAATTTGCAGTAGTTGCTGGTCTCGGTATCTTCTTTCATCTTACTGTGCACTTCTGGGAAAAATTTCTTGAAAACGGCTCCATTGAAGTCACTCCACCTTCATGAATTAATCAGGATTAGTTTTTGCATAATAAGTTAATGAATTTTTTAATTTTTTATATTTATTTTTGGCAAGTATTACAAGAACTAATTCAATATATATGCGTTACTAGAGAAGCTCACTGACCTGAAATCCCAATATCATAGCCATAAATAATGCCTCCCATGGCAGCAACCATACTAGATAGCACAACAAGCAGGGTCATCTTGCCATTGTAATGCTCATCTTTGCTTGTTGTTATTCCTAACTCAGCTGCTGCCATGGCTTTTCTTCTTTCAAGCTAATGCACCGGTGTGGAAAAAAGAGAGAGTACATCTTGGTAAGATAGAGTTTGTAAGGATATAGATTGACAATATGAACAGCAGTCTTCCTTGACTGCTAGACATCATTATCAGTATGCCTCAGTGTAGAATGTTCAAACTAAAATATCGCTTAATTTTGGACTTCATTGATTGAAGCATAAAGCAAAATACAATCGAAGAAGAATAAAAACAAAATAACATTAAGATAAACACAATAGTCCAAGACTAACAATTCACAAATCATTTAGCCTTTGTTGGTCTCCATTGGGCCGACTAGTTGATATTTTGGGATTTTTTTGAATTAAGGCTTGATATTCACAAATCATTGAGCATGGAGAGAATTGTTATTCAATTGGCCGAAGAGGAGACCCAAATTTATTGGGCCACTTTAAAATAATAATTGAAAAGACAATGCTACCATTTTTCTTAAAAAGTCCGGCCCAACTTTAATTATATTATGGTAAAAGAAAGTACTATATTTTGGCTTTTGGCTTTTGGCTTTGTTTGTTGTAGTGTTTTTTAAGGAGGGGTTATGAGATTTTTTTTTCTTTGAGGAAGGGATATTCTATTGTTAAATTCCATAGATTTAATGGTCTATTTGTTCTGTTTTTTTTTTTTTTCAATTTATTTATTTTTTCATTTTAAATAATCAAATTGCTTTTATTTTATTTCTTGATCAAATACAATATAAGATTGATGATATTATCAAAAGATATAACGGGGATAGAAATGTAATTTTATCGTCTATTTTTGAGCAAAGAAGAAAAGGCGGGGTTGTGGGTGTTGCCACTAACCGTCCAAACTAGGGGTGG